CGGAGCAGCTGTAGGAAGTGTCTGGAGAGAGAGAAGTCTGGGCATCTTTGCTTAGACTGCTGCCCTCGCGACCCGGTCCCGGATAAGCGGAAGAAAGTGGATGGATGGATGGATAAATGAAGAGGCATTTGTGACCTGTGTGGAATTAAGTATTTTATAAGCTCTCACTTTAATAGCCCAACCCTATAGACTTTAAAAAAAAATTGTTGTTGTTGATCAACTTCATCCTAGCCTTCAACAAAGGGTGTCCTTTTATGAGATGAAAGCCATATACCTATTTGTAGTCATTCAGGCTGCTATTTTAAACAAAAACCAAGGACAAATGAAGCAAATCAGTGCCCCTGTGTTTTTTTTTTGTTTGTTTGTTTTATTTTTTAAGAACAAAGGCATCAGGAAGTAAAACCATCCTGATTTGGTTTATGTTTGGGTTTTGGATTGTGGAACAAGCAACATGAAGACACCACCATTACTCCTCTGATAATCTGAGTAATGATAACCAGTAACTTATTAGTTATAATGAAAATAATTAATTGCAGCTCCAGTGTAGGCTACCCCTTGGGTTTCATATCAGTTACATCTATATATATTGTTACTTCTAATGTCTTTATTTTGTATTGGACAGTGGGGATTTTTGCTCATGGCCGAAATAATGAATCCGCTGTACTGTGGATGTAAGTACATGCTAATGTTTAGCTACCTTACACAGACATTTTCCTCTCCAGGCTGCATAACATGATGCTTGATGTGTGCTTATGAAGAAGTCTAACCAAATGCTTGTAAGATGTGAGATGGCTGGATGAAAAATATGGGAAAAGATGCAACTTGTAGAGTGACAGTGATGTTTTGACGGAGCCTTCGTAATGGCATATTCAAATACGTGACTTGAATACTGAGTTTACACAGTTTTCCAGTTTCTGCTCCCACCTTTCAGAAGGAGGGAGGAGATGGAAGAACCATAGCACATGAATATATCCCATCAATACTAATAGTCTGTGCCTCACAAACCACTGTTTACATCAGCACATGTATGTTCTTTGAGTATTGCAACAGAAAAATAATACAGTAATAATTATATGTATTTCCACTCAAATATATAGGCCTGTTTTTGCTTGGTCTATCAAAATAAGGGCAAATTTCAATATTATTTGCAACATATATATAGGTGTGATTTGTCATGGGCAGTGTGATATTCTGGAACACTTTTATCGCAAACAATTAGGCTACAGCTGTCATCAGTGGAGGAAATTGGCCTCGTTGTCTATTGATTTAACACCACAGCTTCCAAAAGCATTAAATGTTCTATTGGCTACTGAAGTTGTACATTAGCTCCAGTAGTCCACCAGAGTGGGCTTAGGGTTTACTAAGCCCTTTATATTGTAGGAAACGTCAATCATAATTACCCTTATTTGTGCTATATCCTGGGGGCAGTAGATTTAATAAAATTCATTACTCCGGGTTTATTCATTTCAATTTTAATTTCCCTTTAAACAATTCGATTTCATTTTTTTTAAATGGGAGCTCAACTGTGCAGTTCACCTTGTCACTCACAGCTGACTGGCGCTCGTACGTGCACATGAGCACGCTTCTCTCACTGTCGAGCACGAGCGCGTCCGCGTACATCCCTCTCTCCTCACTCGGCCGGAAATCGGTCCATTTTTTCTCAGTTGTATAAGAGGAGGCTTGAGGAGCGGCAGCCCGTGTAACGTGCGTCTGTGAGAGCGATCAACTAATGTCAGAGAGTAGACAACGACAACAGCTGCCAAGCAAAGGATGTAATCAGGGCCCATACGGTTGGTCGACCGACTTTTGTTGTCAGGGAGCGTTTTTCCACGCTGCCGGAGGGACATCCCTGCGCGTTTCTCCATGCAGAGAGCCAGACAGGGAGACGGTACAGACTGAACGGGAAGGCAGAGCTGGAAGCGCCCTCTCCACAAGGTGGACCAGCGATTTCACCTCCAGAGGCTGGTCTTAGACGTCCTGTTTGATGTTTTGACTTAATATGTGCTTGTTTGTGTTCATGTTTGATGCCCTAACGACCCAAGGCACACTGCGAGATCGCTGCTTTGATGAATAATTTAGAGACTTTAGTTCCGAGGCTCACGCTGCGACTACCGAGCGACCTCTGGCTGCGCCTGACGCCACCTGAACGTGCTCCGATGGTGGACCAAACAGAAAGATAGATAAATAAATAACACCACGAGGACACGGGCCACAATTGGAGAGCAGACAAAAGGTCAAAATTAGGGGTTCTTTAATACTCGTCTGGGTGCCGTTTTGTGGCGTACAGCCCCGTAGTCATGTTGCCGAGTCTGTGGGGGAGGAAAATCGGAGCCTCCAGTTCTTCGACGCCCATCCATTGGCACCCCAGTGTCTGGTTTATGTTATGAGCCTCAACGAACGTTGTTCACATCATCAGCTGTCATCTTGTTCTTATTTGGAAAAACTAAAGAAATAAGCGGATGCATCTCCTCAAAACGCCTTACACATCTGATTTGATCTTAAGAGTCTAAGCTGTTTTTTTCCTTTTGGTTACCTCAAAGTTTTAAAGACCTGGTTACCTCTGTTCTGCATCACATCAGCGTTAATACAGAGCAAATCTGTAAGTCGATGATCACCGTTTTCACTGTTGAACTGACTTTAAAACCTCATAAATCTACCTCAGACCTTATCTACATACGACAATAGACCGATGTGCCCCCTAATGAATACCTCAGCCTGACTGCTGCGCCTGTTGCAAACTGAGCTCGTGTTTCTGTAACGCTGCAGATGGCTTCGTTTCCAGACTCGGACCTGCAGACGTGTCCGCTTTGCAAGGAGCTGTGTGGCTCCTCTGCTCCGATCTCCTCTAGCTCTTCTACATCTTCATCTTCCTCACATACCTCATCCTCCTCCAGCCAGACCACCAGGAGGCTCCACGTCCTGCCCTGCCTCCATGCCTTCTGCAGGCACTGTCTTGAGGGCCAGCGCAGTCCCGGGGACCCGCTCAAGCTGCGGTGCCCCACCTGCGACCAGAAGGTGTCCATCTCTGAAGCCGGGGTGGACTCCCTGCCTTCTTCTAACTTCCTCTTCAGCAACTTGCTGGATGTGGTAGTGAGCTCCGAGGAGCAGATCCAGAACAAGAATGGCCACCACCAGCGGGGAGGCTTAGGTGGAGGCTCCTCCAGCTTCCATCATTCCCAGGGAGGCCTGTTACCTCCACACCACCTGGGAGAGCCTCAGTGCAGCTCATGTGATGAGGAGAACCCAGCTACCTCCCACTGCCTTGACTGTCAGGAGTATCTGTGTGATAACTGTGTGAGGGCACACCAGCGGGTGCGGCTCACCAAAGACCACTTCATCGAGCGCCTTGGAGACAACCTCCACTTGGGCCAGGTCAACGCCAACAGCAACCCGGGCCAGCCAGGGGTGTCAGTGTGCCTCGCCCAATCCCTGCAGAACAACTTTGCCTTGCTGTCCCTGTTCCAGGATCGCATGAGCTTCTGCCAGCACCATGACAACGAGGTGAGTCCAGCATAAGAGTAAGAACCACTGCATCTAGGAGTGCAAAAGATTGGGTGTATACAGATGGGCAATAAATTAAAGGAAAACACTGAATGCTTGACCCCTATATGGATCTGGAGACATTTAGCTGACATTAGGTCCACTTGTCACCGTAGAGGGAAGGGTCACTGCAAATCAATGCAAAGTTGTTCTGAGTGATCATCTTTATATTATAATGAGACATTTCTATCTTGAGGGGAGCGGCCTTTCTTCCAAGATGACAATGCCCCCATCCACAGGGCACAAAGGGTCACTGAATGCTTTGAGTATGAAAATGATGTAAACCATATGCTATGGCCTTCACAGTCACCAGATCTAAGACACTTTATGTTGGTTTTTCCTTCCATTTGTCACCTGTATGTATGTATGTATGTATGTATGTATGTTCATTTATATAAATTATGCCATTTAGAAACTAATAGTAAACATGCCATCCACAATGTCACTTGTTTTTGACAAACTGGTTCATCTTGACAGGTATACTTACCCTACTTGTCCTGTGGTGGTAGTAATATAATAATAGTGTATTTAATGTTCACACACATACATACACATTTATAGTGTAATAGCATTATGTGTGTAGTATAGAACCATACTGGGGGCCATATGGCCTTAGGTTCAAAGGGAGCTGAGTGGCTCTTCACCTAGTTCTCTGGAGATGAACAGGCTGGATTTACACACACATCGACCCTGCGTGCAGGCACACACATGTATGCATAGACACATGCAGAGTCTGGTTAATCTGTACCACACCATATATTCAGGGCAGAGAGAGGCCCCTGTGGTAACTGCACACATGTTTCCTTGACTGTTAGAAGTCCTATTTATGGACATATTATGGAGATCTGATAATGGGAAAGACCAGTTGAAACTGGGACACAGACTCCTGATTTTTTTTTTTTTTTTTTTCTTTTTCTGGACCGTGTCATCAGTGCACAGTAACTAAAAAAATTTATATTGTACCACTTATGGTTTCTGTCAAAGAGATAAAGGAAGTTCTCCCTGCTCCTGGAGAATACACTTGTTGGCCACATGAGAATGGATAAAAGATATTTTTAGTAGTTTATTAATGAAGGTCTTGCAAAATGATCTGTGAGGTCTGTAGAGTTAGTAATGACTCACATAACCAATCAACAGACCTGAAATGCACCCAATTTTCAAGTTACATTAGTACTTGTACACATTACCAATTGTCCAACAGTCAAAGATTTTGTTTAATGAACCTCAAAACACGCGGTCCACCCCAAAGACTTGAAATGTTCCCAGTGTTGCAACATGGGCACATTTAAAAAAAAAAGTTTGATTTTATAAAAGTCTCCCCTGATGTGGTGACAACAGGTAGTACTCATGAGTCTTGTGAAACAGAATTCTACTTGACTCTGCTACTACGGGGGTGACTGTGTAGAGCAGTCGTCTCCCACCCAGACGGTCAGGAGTTCGAACCTCTGTGCCTGCAGTCCACATGTTGAAGTGTCCTTGGACAAGACACTGAACCCCCAAGTTGCCCCCCGATGGTTAGAGCCATCGGTGTGAGTTGGCGCCACAAATGGCTGCCTTGGTTCTGTACCGGAAACAAATTCCTTGTGTGTGTGCGAGACATACTTGGCCAAATAAAGGTGATTATTACTACTCTATGTTCAGCTGTTCCTGTTAGGGGTTGCCACATGAGTAAATTTGGCACATTTTTATGCCGTGCGCCTTTCCTGACACAACCGGGCTTGGGACCGGCACAGAAGTGACTGGTGTGAAACCCCTGTGGCTAGATACAGGGTTCCACTTGACTACATTTCAAGCTGAATGGTGGAAAAGCTGGACAAGTCTCTATACTAAATGGACTAAATGCCAGGTCCATTAAAGCAGTGCATAGAAACACATTGCTAAGGAAATGATCTGCTTTGTCCTGTGCCAACAGAAACTTGAAAATACTGCCCAATCAGAGTTTAATCTGTATTGTAAATTAAAAGTGCCCCTGGAGGTTCACTGGGCAAAGAGCAATTCCCTCACTTGCAGCTGTGTTTCTCTTACTTGTATTTTAGTCCCGCCCACATAAGATGTGAAGAAAGAGGAAATGAGTTTAAAAAAAAAAAAAAAAGACATCCTTTCCTCAAGTCTTTCGTCTGAAACATCCAGTCACCAGCTGATATTCAATAGAGGGTGTTTATAAGAGACTTCTGCAAAAGATGCTCTCCTGTGGCCTTACTCATGGCTCCTCCAGCAGCCTCCCCATCTTCCAAGCAGTAATAAGAGCTATGTTACATTTTTTGTGATGGCAGACCGAAAGGACTTCTGTATTGATGCAGGAGTGAGAAGCGGAAGTGTACCCCACTATAAACAAACAAAAGTTGCATTTACATGTGGTGTTTTTCCATCAGTGCAGGTCATCCAAAACCAGGCAGTCTGTGGGTAAAACAGTCATTTCGATACCAACTTGAATGTGTTGTTGGGTTTATAGAGATGAATACATTTAGGTGTTGAAATGACCATAACGTGGTTATGTGATATCTGTAGTTCGGCCAGCCTGTCAGTATGGCCAAGCTTTTAGCTCCAGTCAACTGTAACATGATTGACAGGGAAACATAGCCAATTGCGAGGGCTGCAGTGGCTTTAAAGATGCTGATTGGTTAGAAGTTGATTGCCCTGCCCCCTCCGCTTACAGACCATGTGATTGTTACAAAGCTCTGCTTACAACACTTAACTATGTAGTAACTGTGTCAAAAATCGCATGTTTCTTTCTCCCTCACTGCTTGTGAAGATAGGTTTGTAAGCCTGAGTGAATGCACAAACCTGTAGAAAAGTTTGCAGGCAGAAACGTCAGTGTACAGGCTTACAAAATTAAGTTTACAGGTACTAACCTAAAAGTACAAGCTTACAACCCAAATGTACAAGCTTACAAAATCAAGTTCACAAGTAGAGACCTGTTTCCAGGCACATCTTTCTGACTAATACAGTATTCCATATGAACCAGCCTTCATATAACAATAGAAGTGTCATGGAAAGGTTGCCATATCA